TGGGACATATTCCGATCGTATTCGTAGTCGCGGGGAACGCGGTAGATGGAGAGAAAAGGCGATTCTGGTCACGGTACGGTGCACTCGACGTTACCAGCGGGTTTTGCACGCGAGTATAGTGAGCGCCAAAAGTCGAAAAACATCCCCGAGAGCTTACGGTTCACCGTGTACGAAAGAAGCCCGGTTTAGAATCTTCCAAAACTTTGTTTGGTCGATAAAAACGTGGGCTCCGCGCGTGGTAATGACCCTTAGTTTCTGTCAGTCAGTCGTAAGCGTGTGAGGTGTTTACTTGTTTTTGAGGCTTACTGTATACGCGGACACCAGGCACACGCAAGTGCGTGTTTTCAAAGCGTAACGCTCGCGTAGCGCCGTGATTAGACACGCCACGGAGTTCGCGGAACCGGTTCTCCACCGTCTCCGTTTCGCTGCCGGCCATCTTTCTCTGTTATCCGACCGTCTCGATTATGGGTCGACGGCGAAGAGAAGATGGCGAGGGGGACGCTCGCAAAAAGAGTTGCGTTTCGTTCGTTCCTTGGTTCGTTTCGCCGCCGCGACTTTCTCCTTGCGTAATCGAACGCGAGACTTTCTTCTTCCTCTCTCTCTTGGACAGATAGCCTGGAAAACTGTGATCGAGGTGTAAATAGTTTTGGCTTTCGTTAGCGAACAAGCGTAGAATCGGGGCTTCGCTGAAATCAAGGTACGAGTCTTGAAACAGGCTGTATTTAGCAGTTTTTGAAACGCGTACGTTTTTTGTTTGCCACGGAAACGAAGCGATTCTCGATCCTTTGTTGGCGCGAGAATCAGAGCGATTACAAGGCCGTGACGCAGGTACTCAAAGATACAGACTTATGTAATAATTCGAAGCTCATGTTTTAATTTACGACTCGGTGGGCGAGTCCCGAGAAAGTTTACAGTTAAGTACACGAGCGTGCAACTGTGCAAACACACGCGTGTAATGGAGAAAGGAAAGATACAAAATAATTCGGACCGTTATCGAATAAAAATATTTACTCTCTCCGATAAGATAAAATAACTGTTCGATCGTGGCATTCGCTCGTAGTATCGTTCCTTATTAACGACTCCCGTTCTTTCGTTCCGCTCGATCGTGATGAAACGAAAAAGTCAAATTTTTTTGTCGGGTTTGGTGCCGTGCACGCATTCGCTAATTTTACGAAAAATTTCCCGTCCGCGTTCGTGACTTTCTTCTTCGACCGATAATTTACCTTAATTAATTATCGTCGAAACACGTTCGGTTTGCCACGGCGACGATTTGATTTGCTCGCGAACAATTTACGTTCGATACGGCGTCACGAGAAAAAAGTGGTTTAATTATTTGCGAAACGAGGACTCGAAAGAAGTCGCAGATCGAAATCGGCACGTAACTTGCTGGTAAAACCTGAAAAAGGACCGTAAAGCACGGTACGTGCATAAATAATGTCGATGCAAGTTCGAGGTAATGTTCCGTAATTGCAGTGTGTGTTAAACGGTAAGCGTGGCTTTCTGTTTGAATCATGGGCGAAAGTGTATTATTAGTTGCGGCGTTAAATGCTCGATGCTCGCGCGTACATATACATTTTCCGTAATAGCTCGACAATGCGATAACGTAACGCGTATAGATCAATCGTAAAACAGATCGGCCGAATCGATAACGAAGAATCGTTCGAAACGTCCTCGTTAAGGTAATTAAGTCAACGATCGTGTAAGAAAGCTTCTCCGACCCGCTGGCAAGAGGGCGCGAATGCTCGCAGACGAAAGGTAGACGACACACAACGGTATAAATATACGTTGCATCAGTTTTTTTACCTCGTTGAAGGTTAATTTACGAGTTGCTCGAACGCGTAGCAAAAACATACGGGGAATTATAATTGGCAGCTTAACGAGTACCAAGCATAAAATAATCACCGAGCAAAAAACTTGTGGTTCGACGATCATTGCCGGAGGGAGGACTATAGAGCCGGAAATAATTTCCACATCTTCCAACAAAAATCGTTGATATTCGCTAGTAGCTAAAATTGAAAAAAGGCCGAGTTTGTAGATACATACGTCCGTGGGCCCGTAAGATCCCGGTGGCAAACGATAAGAGTCAGTGAGAGGAATTAGGTTGAACGAACGGAAGGCGAAGAAAAATAAGTCGCGCGGCGTCGCTGGAACGCCTCACTCTCCTCGTATCCTCCCATTGTAGGAAATTCGTGCGTCCGTGTGCACGGTCTCCGGCGAAGGGAGAAGCGTGTCCGCGGAGTCACTGGTAGATCGGGTTGTGAAGCCGGGAGAGCGGGTTCAACTTGCGACTGGTTCGTGAATAATGCATGCCAGCCGCGAGCCCACGCCAGGACGCTATATACGAAGATGCCAGACACGCTACTCGGAACCAGGCTCGTATCTATATGGGCACATAAGGCGCGAGGAGGGGCTCTATGTAGCTGGGCAATGTTGGCCCTCCGCTCCACTCCTTGCCTCGGCGCTCACGCACACGTCTATCCGTTACACGATGAACCGGCTCGCCGGTGGACTATTTGTGTGCCGTTGTCGTGACTCGTCGGAGCGTGTACGACGAGCGAGGCAGCGCGGATACACCGAGAACGAGAGAGACACGAGTGTCGCCGGTGGGCTGGATTCACGTCTCTCCCGGCGGAGACACGTGCACACAGAACTATCGGGGATGTTTGATTTTTAAAAGATGACCTGCTGCAAAATCGATTCGAAGAACATCCGCAATTCGGATAATCTGTTTCGAACCGCGAGACGTCTCGTTTTACGCTGGTCCTTTGCTGGTAGGGCAGCCGACTTTCGACGAGTCCATACTCGTGGAACGAGACGTTAACCGTGCTCTCGTACCGTCGGCGCAAAGTTTCGAAAGTTCGCGGAATTTCAAAGGATCCGAGAGTTGCAAGTTTGCAGATAGAGCGGCGTTAACTCGCGCAACAACGCCGTGACGCAGCACCAGCCACTGCTCGCGCCAGATTACCGGAAGAGGAACGTGTTTTTCGTCACACGAACCACGGAGCAGACTGTTCGGAGAAGTTGCGCGTGCCAGTTTCGTCGGGCAGACACAATTCCGCCGCGGCTCGTCGCTCCCGCTTCAAAACTTTCCTCGTATCGTGCAAGTTTCCCGATTGGTCGCGTTCTCCCGCCGCGAAAATCCCCGCAACTCCGGGTAATCTCGCCCATCTCTACCAGAGTCGTTGAAATTCAGATCTCCGCGAATTCAGTTTCCCTCGTTCGGTCTCGAGCCGCGCATCGCCCTCGAACCTTCCTTTTGCCCGCCTAACTTCCGCCCAAAAATTACGCTGAAAAGTTCTTTTCGCGGTTCTCGGAACTTTGCTTTTCCGGCCCGTGCCACGCGTTCCCAATAATGAAAGTTACGTCGGACGGAACTGGTTCTTGATCTTGGTTCTCGATCCTCTCGGAACTGGATCTTTTCTATTAAAAAATAAACCACGATGAAATATCAATATTTCATGGAGTTGTAATTACACGGCAGAGCTATGCTTTTTAGTGTTTGTTAGATGGTATCGGTGCTGTTTAAAAAGCACGCTTCGTGAAAATCATTATCTCGCTCCTTCCTTTTCTGGGAACGATGCCGTATCATCGTTGGGTTATGTTTCCGAGCAAATGGTTTCCAAGAATAAATAATATCGCGTGTTATTAACATTTACCGACGCCTCTGCGGGCAACGGTACATCCAGTCACGATTCCCCGCGAGTGCGTCGTGTGTGTTTCCTGCGAATCAAAAAATGACCACGCACTCCTCGCGATTATACGCCAAGGCTCCGCGCCGTGTATCTCGCGTCTCGCCACGCAATAGTTTTCGATCAAATCGGGATTATTGTATTTGGAAGCTCTTTCCACGGAACGATTCCCGGGAAAATGATGAAAACACGACGAGTATAATATCGAGCATGAGGTCGGAAAAGAGGGAGGGAGGGAGGTACGTACCGATGGATGAAATCGTCGACGTAGAAAGGCTTTCTGGGGCATGGTAATCGGAGCCTGGGGGGTAAGACAGACTAGAGAGAGAAAGATAGGGGCTCCCGGGGTAATTTCTGCCAGGGTGAAAATGCAGGGAGGGTGTATAAATCTCTGGCGACACACCGAGGAACGGCACACGGCGACGGGGACGGGTACGGGGCAGATAGAGGGACGAGATGGCTAAATAAAATCAATTAAAAAGTTTCGCCACGTCGGGAGTCGGGGAGTTTTCATCAAGTTTTCCGCCGTGCGCGCTTCTCCGCGTCTACATATAGCGTGACAGTAGCGAGCGCAACTTGTGCTATAAACCGGCGATACACCAACACCGACGACCGATCCGTGGTAGTTTCCGCTAACTTTCCGACTTTCGCGTCGAACTTGTTAATGGCTTTCTGTGGCGGCTCTGTTACCATCGCTTCGACTCTCTCGCGACTCCCATTTCCCTCGTTTCTACGCTAGAACCATCTACGAATTTATCCGTCGATCTATCGGTGTACTTATCGAACTACGCCTATTCGACTTATCCGTCTAATGAATTTCCTCTTATCGTTCAACGTCCCTGGAAATTCGTCCCGGTTCCTCCTCTCGGCTCGTCTGCTCTTCCGCGCGACGATCGAGCGAGCCCTCGAATACGATCCGCTGCGCTGCCGGGGCTGTTAATCGCGACGGTAATTAGCGTGGATTAGATCCAATTCTCCCGACCCGATTACGATTCTTGTTAAACTCTTGACGCGAAACTGGATTTTCCTTGGCTTCCATGGCATATCGGTTCTTCCGTGACTCGCGTTAACGCGCAACATACATATTCTCCATACCATACCAGTTAAAATGTTTTCTTTTGCGTTTCCTATTTTAACCATTTACCGAGAACCATTTATTCTCGTTACAAACCAGTTCGTAACACGGTGTAAAAGTTTCCCTAAACGGTACTTGATCTTTTCGAAGCAACTAATCGTCGTTCGATCCCTAGACTATATCTCCGGCTCGATAAACTTTCATATTTCATAAAATATATCATCTTTTTGTTGCAGGTAAGGAGAGTTTCGCGGAAGGTACGCCGTTGCGACTGCTTGCCAAGACGTTTCAGTAAGTCGTAGAAAAAGAAAAAGTCGAAAGCGTTTCGGAGCATTATTGTCGCGTTTTTAGCAGAAACACCTTGAATTTCTGCGAAACGCGAGTCGATCCGATTACTCGCGCAAAGTCCGTGTAAAGCGAAACCGTATAGATGCTGCATCGTTGTTCTCACCGCGTCCTCTTTTTTACCCCTGCAGGAATCGCTTCGCTAAGGCTGACCGGGCCGTTCAGGAAGCTACGGGCGCAATAACAGTTTCGGTTATCACGGTGAAACGCGATAACGCGCCACGTTCCTCGATAGTGGCCTCCCTTCGTAAGCGTAAGATTAAACGCGGAACGCGATTTCGAGCGCTATTCTGGCCGCTCTGTCACGCGTTCCCTAGGAAATCCCGTTTATCGGTCTCGACAACGGTTTTCAAATTTCTCCGCGCTAGTCTAACGCTCGCTAAATTGCTCCTGCGTTCGTTCTTCTTCCGTGAATCTTTGCCGGATGCGTTACCACCGTAAAACAGGTCCCCGTTGTACGAACAAAGAAAAACGGTCACCTGTTTTGCGAGCGAGTACAACGCCTCGATAACGCGGTCAAGTTCGCGGTGGGATCGTTTGGAACTTTTTAGCGAGGCAGAGGCGCGAATTCGGAGCAGAATCGAACGAAACGAATCGGAGGATGACTAAATCCCACGCGACGACGGGAGTTGAAACAACGGAATCGTCCGTGCTATAAATCCACCGAGGCGATTTCCATTTCGACGTCGTGTTTATCTTCGCCACGATCGCCGGAGGAATTTCCGAGAACGGGTTACGCGCGTTTACGCAAATCCAAGTTTCTTCTTTGTTTCCGAGCTCGAAATTCCACCGCGATTCCGCGAAAGCTGAGTCAACGCCGAATATCCGTGAACGAGACGACGCTTGACCCAGATTTCGCGGTATAGTAGCCGGGGTATCGTTTCGCGAGATCGATAGTTCGGTATGTACGGTGGCTCGATCGGTAGAATTCTCGTTCGGCTGGATCCATTAAGGCTCGCTTTGAAACTACCAACAGAGTAAATAAACGGGGAACGATTTTATGCGAGTCTGCCGAAACGATGACGCGACGCGGTTTATTTATTATCTCGCTGCGAAGACTCGTAGCGAGCAGGTCGTGCCAAAAATAGAGGATTTAATAGCGCTGGAAGATTGGTCGAGAATAATTATGGTGTCGCGCGTACACGTAACATTCTCGTATTCAAGGTTGCAAATGGACGCGTGTCTCCGAAACGAGTCACGATTCATCGGCCAATAATAGGAAACAAATTAAAGACAGTTCCCAGACTCTATGACGGACCAGCCCATACATAAAATATCGCCACGAGGACGTGGATTTACGACGACGGTTTTATACCTGTGCGCATCGGAAGGAGATAAAAAAAACACATCTGGAAAATATTCAAGGAGAGAAATGTTCCAGAAACGGCGCGGCGGCATGCTAGCGATTACTTTGGCATCGTACAATGGCATTCGAAGGAAGGGTAGAGAGAGGTCGAAAGGAAAACGGTAGAAGGAGAAAGTGGACAATGACGAATAAGTATTGGTGGGACGCGAACGAACCAGCTGGTCTGGCTCCTCGCGTTTACACGATGCTGATAAATTATTTATCTCGCTACGTCTGGCCAGCGGCCAAGATTTTCCGTCGCCTTCGTCTTCCACCTTCGTCCATTTGCGCGCGCCAGTCAAACCGTACACGCGTCTTTCCATTTTGCTCCTTTTTCTCTTGCCGTCTCAAAGGGACCCTTCGTTTTCTCTCTCGCTGGAGAACGGTTAACCCAAATTCACGGACCCTCTTGCGACACACAAAGCGCGGATCGTTTGTAAATAAACGAGCGCGCTTTGATTTTCTACGCTGCGGAGGACGCTCCGATGCATCGACGCTTCGAAAGGCCGTTTCTTATGCTGGAAACGGTCAAGATCGTTTCCGTGGTACCGATTACGCTTAACAAGCGCGTAATTGCCAGTCGTAGTTTACTTATTCCAGGGAAGAGTCGTTTAAAGGGGCTGTATCTATTGTAGCTTCGGTGGGAGGAGAAATATTCTACTTATTGGCGAAACTTCCTTTTTATCTTTATTATTATTATCTGAAATCGTTGAGGCGAAACTAGAAACTGCAACTATGTGTGCGATGCGGATGCGGGCGGGGGAGGAGCGGGGGTGGAGCGCGGGAGAGGAGAAACGAAATCGTTATCTCGATCGAAGCATCGCGTCTGAATCATCCGCGCGATATCCGCGTGCATATCGACGTGTTTTCCGCGGAAGAGCGAGGTGGGAGGCAGGCGGAGGGTCGTTCGCTCCCTCCGATGGCTCTGCCCACGGACGTTACGCCGCAATTACTCGACGGCGTATTGATCCGACAGCTCGCAGTCCCACGGTTTGCAGAATCCCTCGTTCCGAGCAACCCTCTCTTTCTGCCCCCGTCGGAGAGCACCCTTTCGCTTCGAGAAGGAGAAAAAGGCCGACACGGAAGGGCCAGGAAGTAGGGAAGCCGGAGTCGCGAGCTGGATACGCCCGGGAAATAATTGTCAGGGACGTTAGAGTCTCTCTATCGAGTCGCGGGAGTCGAGCCCGGTCGATGTCACCGCGCATTCCAGTTGGAAAACGAGAATCGAGATGAATCGGTATCTTGTCGTTTCGATCATCGAAATTGCTCTTTCGTTATTTCGGATCGATGGACGTTGAACGGTGCGCGATGGAATGGAATCGCTGTCGTTTCTAGTTTGGACGTTTAAGGCGTACCGTCGAGGAAGCGAAATTCCGTATTGCCTCGAACCTGTTGCAACGCACGCTCGACATCGAACGCGTCGTTTACGCTCTCGTAAAAGGCTAAAATTAACCGGAAACAATTCTGGAATCCCCGCGTGGTGTCTGGCAAAAGGAGTCGAATAAAACAGACACGCGAGCAACGAAGAGGGAGGAGAGGCTGTGCGCGAGAGAGGGAATGGTGTGTCGCAATCGGCGCGGCCCTGAAGCGCGGGAATGGCGAGACTGCACCGGTGTGTGGGCATTACGGGACCACGGCAATTATCCGGGACTTTCCTTTTGCACCTTGCCTCTTTCTCGTCCCACACACAAGCGCACCGCGATCCCCTTATCCCGCGCGCGCGCGCGTGCTCGGGGGGAGAGGCAAATCGACTCGGCGTGGTGTGGCGCGGCGGCGGGTCTCGGGTCGGGAGCGAAACGAGCCACGGACGGCTGGCTTTTCAGCCGTGCTCCGACGTGTACACAGCCACGAGACGATGGAAAGAGGCGGCCGGAGCTGGCGGCGCGGCGGTGGAGCTGGGGGCGGACGAGGAGGAGGAGGTAACGGAGGAGGTTACAACCGGAGTTTAATGAAACCAGTCGAGGTCCGTCAAACCGGTTCAGCTGGTTCTCCGTTTGCCACGTCGGCCCTCCCTTTACCCCTTGCTGCCCCTGGTCCGTCAGCTCCCTCCGGGTTGCATAGAAGGGATCCCGGAGAACAGGCGAAACAGAGATATCGACCCCTCTTTTTCTCTCTGTTCGACAACCGGGTTCTCCGACCCTCTGCGTTCTCTCTCCGGGATAGATCCGCGCCGTTCTCTCTCCGTCGAACCGCATATCTCAGACACAGATCGCCGCCAGTGACTCCTGCACTCGTCTGCCCCGGCCGTGTAACCTTGCCTCTCTGTGTGCACGCGTGTCCGCACGACGCCGCGAACCTGTCTGCGTGAAATCCCCTTAACCGAGAGTACACCCACGACCACTGGGTCGAGAATTATGGCGCGGGGGGATCACCGTATCCGCCCCTGTTTGATAGTCCCGTCGCGATATAAACTCGCCAGGGTACCTCCCTAACTCTCTCTCTCGCTCCCTCCTTCTCTCCCACTTTGGCCAACTGCTTCCCGGTTCTGCGCTATCGATCCCTCTTTGTCCCTCCGCGGAGAGAAAAGGTAGACGAAGGGACGAAAACCGATCTCTCCGGTCGTTCCACTTAGGTATTCCCTGCGTACCGACTTCTTCTAGCTCTGGATCGCGCGTCAAGGATTTCCTCGGACGTCTCCTGACCCACTCCACGCGACGACTAGAAGAGCTCGCCTGCAATTCGGGTCGATTCGTTTTTGATCGATTCATCGAGAACGCCTTCGGTACCCTGCTTCAACGACCATTCATCGAGGAACGATTAAACAAACTTTTGTGCAGCGATACGCATACTTGGAATACCGAAGCTATTGTAATATACAGGACAGGCCGTAACTTATTGTCTAACGTGGATCTATAAAGTTGAGTCCCGCAACGGTAACTATCTTTCGACGATGCATAGTCGTAGTAAACGAATTAAATGACGAAGCGTGCCTCGTAAGTCATCCATTAATATCGTTTCGTGGAAAACTCGTTTAAAGTTTTCAACTCTGGAACACCAACGCGAACAAAGTTGAGTAAACCCAATAACGTGGGTGATATATACCCAAAGTCTCTTTATGTCGCTGTAACTTTCTTAAAATATCGTGGGCTTTAAGTCAGCAGAGATAGTTTTTTCCCCCCGTACTTTAAAGATTTCGCTTCGATACTTTAGGAACACATTTTTAAGGGCCGAAACGTTATCACGGCAATCCGAAAATCAATTTGTTGGACCGTTTAAAGCGGAGCATCCCCTTGAATATCGTCGGATCGCTCGGGGGAACTCCCCTTGTAAAAACTCCCGCGTACTCGTTGGTAATTAGCTCGGATCTTGTCCGTACTGGTAAGCCCCGCCTAACTGCAACGTCGATCGACGCGAATAAAGTAATTACCGCAATATTATTATTTGATAAGTGATTTTTAATAAAATAGCAGCAGTATTATATTTCGCGTTGAACGAAACTCGTTGGAATAATTGTTCGACGTAGCAAAAAGTTTGTTTTCCATCGTTGAAATAAAACTTTGTTCCGAGTTCCGAGATTAATTTTTGCGGTAATTAGTCCTTTCCTCGGTCCGGGTACACGTTTAATCGAGAATCGGTCGAGTTACCGATAGTCGGTTATATC